ATAAAGAAAGAAATCTTTAAAAAATAAAAGATTGATTTACTCTGAAAGGCAGAATTACAGAGTAAAAGGAGGACAGACAGAGATCTTCTATCTGCTACTTCACTCTCCAAATGGCCACAATGACTGAGGAAGGGCTAGGCCAAAGCCAAGAGCCTGGAACTCCACTTGGATCTCCCATGAGCGTGGCAGGGGTCCAAGCCTTGGGCCATCTTCTGCTGGTTTCCCAAGTGCATCAGCAGGGAGCCAGATCAGAAGTGGAGCAACTGAGACTTGAACTGGTTGCTCATATGGGATGTCAGCATTGCAGGCAGTAGCTTAACCTGCTGCACCACAAGGTTTTTAATTACAGATGTAGTACTTTCATTGATTATGGTACTATTTGAGATTCTAATTTTTTACAATATCAGTTTTGGTCATTTCTACTCTTCCAGAAATTAGCCTGTTTCACTGAAGTTGTTCACAATATCATTTATTTCCATTTTTTAAATTGAAGTATAAGTACACCCAGAAAACTGCATAAATTGTAAGAATACATCACAGAGACAGCTCTCCTCACTGGTTCCCTCCCAGTATGTTCTCATAAGGATAGTTTAAAAAGGTGCCACATGGGGCAGGCATTATGGCACAGTGGGTTAAGCTTTTTGCCCACAACCAATTTGGAATGCTGTTTCAAGTCCTGGCTACTCCACTTCTAATATGGCTTTCTGCTAACGAGCATCCTGGAAGGCAGTACTTGGCTACCTGCCACCCTATGGAGATCTCAATGAAGCTCCAGGCTGCTGGCTTTCACATGGCCCAGCCCTGGCTGTTGCAGGTTTCCGGACAATTAATTTCTCTCTCTCCTTTGCTCTGCCTTTCAAATAAATATTTCAAAGGAAAAGAAAAAGACATCTCACATCTCACATACTATTCTCTCCAGGGGTGGGGAACTCGGGTCTGCAAAAACATTTGTTCTGGCCCTGCTAAGGTAACCACAGCAGGACCAAAACAAATTCAATAAATCCACAGCAGACTAATTTTTAAGTTGATAAAACTGTATGGCCCATGAATGATGTATATCCAAGTGGCCCTTAGAAGGGTCATTCACACCTGAATCTAATAACATTATTAATTTTTTTCCAAATGTCATCTTAGGAGGTGACACACTTATTTCACAATTTTTTAAGACTTTTTTTTTTTAATTTATTTATTTCCAAGGCCAGGTTAGAAAGAGAGGAAGAGAAAGAGATCATTTCTCTGCTGGTTCAGTCCCCAAATGGTAGCAACAGCAAGGGCTAGGCTGAGCCCAAGTCAGGAGCCAGGAACTCCATCTGCGTTTCCCACATGGGTGGCAGGGGTTGAAGTACTTGGGCCATCTTCTGCTGCCCTCCCAGGCACATTAGCAGAAGGCTGGGTCAGAAGCAGAACAGGTGGGACTCGAACCAGTGATCTGACAGGGATGCTGACCTTGCAGGTGGCAGCTTAAACCACTGCACCATAATGTCAGCCCCACAGACATTTTTGAAACTCTTTGGAAATTACTATCTAGTCCATACCTCCTTTACTTTTTTTTTTTTTTTTTGGGGGGTGCCACATTCCTTTTACTTTGTTCTCTATTCAATTCATACAGTTAGGGGCCAGTGCTATGGCACAACAGGTTAAAGATGCAGCCTGCAGCATGGCTGGTTCAAGTCCTGGCTGCTCCACTTCCAATCCAGCTCCCTGCTAATGCACCTGGGAAAGCAGCAGAGGATGGCAAAGGTCCCTGGGCCCTGCACCCACGTAGGAGACCGTTAAGAAGCTCCTGGCTCCTGGCTTTGACCTGGCCCAGCCTGGTCGTTGTGGCCATTTGCAGAATGAACCAGCAGATGGAAGATCTGCCTCTCCACTCTCTAAGTCTGCCTTTCAAAAAATTTTTAAATTCATAAGTGTAATTCTCATATTCTACATCATTTCTCTTCCATATTAGTTGTCCTTATAAATGACAGTGGTTGTGCTACCAGGCAAGATGAGTTAATTCATCTGTAACTGAAGAATGTAAGAAAATTATCTCATTTAACACAGATACAGCCTCTGTCTGTGAAGTTCTTTAAGTCCTATACAAAGCTGGGCATACTAGAAAGTGAAGTAACAATACCGAAGGGGCCAGCATTGTGGCCTAACAGGTTAAGTCACAGCCTGCTCCACTTCAGTCCAGCTCCCTGCTAACGCTCAAGTCCTTGGGTCCCCATACCCACGTTGGACACCCAGAAGTTCCTGGCTCCTGGCTTCGGCCTGGCCCAGCACTGGCTGTTGTGGCCACCTGGGGAGTGAACCAGTGGATGGAAGGTATCTTTGTCTTTCCCTCTCTCTGTAACTCTGCCTTTCAAATAAATAAATAAGTCTTAAAAAAATACTGAAAAATTAAAACACTGCATTATTTTAACTCACTACCTAAACAAAGATTACAAAGAATGGTGATATGCATCATTGACAAAGATATGGAAGAGGACAGGCACTTTCCTATGTGTCTAATAGGAATGAGAACTGGTATGACCTTCACAGAGGGCAATTTAACAGTAGGTATCAAACTTTTCATATCCTTTGATCATTCTAAGGATTTAACCTAAGGCCATAAGTCAAAAATATCAATTCATAGAGGTGGAAATAATGTTATAGAAATATATTTACAGGTGCCGGTGCTGTGGCATAGCGGGTAAAGCTGCCGCCTGTGGTGCCGGCATCCCATATGGGCACCGGTTCAAGTCCCAGCTACTCTACTTCTGATCCAGCTCTCTGCTATGGCCTGGGAAGGTAGAAGATGGCCCAAGTCCTTGGGCCCCTGCACTCGTGTGGGAGACCAAGAAGAAGCTCCTGGTTCCTGGCTTCAGATCGGCCTAGCTCTGGCCATTGCGGCCATTTGGGGAGTGAACCAGCAGATGGAAGACCTCTCTCTCCCTCTACCTCTCTGTAAGTTTTTCAAATAAATAAATAAATCTTTAAAAATATATTAACAAATAGCTCATAAAAACTATGAGAAAAAAAGGCTACAAAACAAGATGATTCTATGTACGTTAAAATAAACACAAAAAGTGTCTGGAATTTATTCAGTCTCTAGGATTATAAGTGGCATTTAGCTACTTAAAACAAGATGATTCTATGTACGTTAAAATAAACACAAAAAGTGTCTGCAATTTATTCAGTCTCTAGGATTATAAGTGGCACTTAGCTACTTTTTGTTCTGTTGTTGCCTAAATTTTCCACAATAAACATATATTGTATAATTTTAAATTATTGAATTTTTTCATTTTAAGTACCAGAATACCTGCAATTTGAATTCCTTCTTCATAACTCATTGCTTCTCCTATCCTCAGCCTAAAATCTCACCTCCAAAGAACAGAAGCAGTTACCTTCTCCTGTCCTGGAAGTACAGGCATAGGATGGGAGGAGAGGGGACAGGACACGGAGAGGAAAGGGAACGAATAAGGGGGAGATTCCTGGTGTTTTAGGAGACCTTGAATAAGAGGTTGGTTAGAGGAAGGAAGAGAGAAGGTTCCATGCACAAGCTTCAACGGAATTACCTTTCTCTTCCCACCAACTGTCTGCCTTAATCAGTACGCGTCCGCTCCTATGCTGTGCACCCAACCCCAAGAAAGAGAAGTGCCAGGGAACCTCGCACAGGATGTGACTAGGCCGCATCTGCGTTAGCGAAATGGCGCTAAGACCAGCCTGCTTACAACAATTTCTGACTCTGTTCCTTGGCTATTTTAGGTGTTTCTCTACAATTTTTGCTTCATAACCCTAGCCTTTCTCAGCTTCTCTAACTTGACACTGCCTCTCCCCTACCACGGGTCCTCAGCTACACCAGTCTCTAGCTGAAATACTTTTATCCCCTCTCCAACCCTATCTGAACGCACTTCTCTCCTACGGGTTCAAGTGTCACTTTCTCAGGGAAGCCTCAAGCACCACAGTCCACAAGAGGTTGCCTCCAGCTTTTATCTCTGCTTGTAAACATACATTATGCGTTATTTTCTAAGATTATCTGATAGGTCCCAAAGTCGATGACAGCAGTGCCATTAGCTGGTTTTGCTCACCACTGTTACCCCTGCATCTGGAACAAAGCAGCGCTCAACAGGTATTTGTTGAATAAAGGAATGAACGAGCAACCAAGCGAATAACTAGCAAACCAGAGGCCTTGATAGGCTAAGAATTATAATTATGCCTCCTGTATACACATTTGCTCCTTTGGCCGCTTTCACATTTCTTCACAGGACAGAGTTGTTTTGTTTGTTTGTTTGAAGATTTCTTTCTTTCCTTGAAAGGCACAACAACAGAAAGGGGTCGGGGGAACGGGGAAAAGGAGAGATACAGCGCTTCCACAGCTGGTTCACTCCCCAGTGGCAGCAACCCAGCCCCAAGTGAAGCCAGGAGACCAGAACGCAACCCGATCTCTGACGTCGCGGGCAGGGGCCCAAGCACTCGGGTCCATCTCTGCTGGCTTCCCAAGGCGCATTAGCAGGGAGCTGGCTGGGAAGCGGAAATGCCGGACTGGTGCTCGGATATGGGACGCCGGCGTTGTAAACAGCAGCCTAACCCGCGGTTTTAAATACACAGAGAAGGCTCCTGTTATTTGGAAAATACCCCACAGCCAAAAGCACACCAGGGCCACGCATAAAATATTTCATCAGCCAAGAAAAAGGCCGGACAGCCTTAACAGAAGCCTGTCGTCCGGCCAGGGGACTTCACAAGGCTTCCCGGCAGTGTCTTGGCTTCCTGCTGGAGCCAAGGAACTCATCACACTCGCGCCCCCACGGCCAGCCCCGGCACCAGGTGCAGGGAATCTGCAGGCTCCACACCCTGGACACGAGCGAGCTTCAGCGAGAAAGCGAAGCCCAGGAGCACAGGGACAGTAGGCGCACGCATTGGAAACGTCTGCCCCGACACCGCCTGGCCTAGCTCCCGCACACCTGCCGGGCGCCCCTCCCCCAGCGTTCCCCTCCCCAGGCCTCCAGGTGGGCAAGCCTGCGAGAGGCCGCGCTTACCCGTCGGGCGAGTACTCGAGGTTGAAGACGGCACCGTGCGTGCGAGTGCTGAGGTACACCGAGTCCGCCGGGTGGATGGAACCGTAGAGGTTCGTCATGGTGCGGAAATTGTCCCGCGCCGGGTCCACGAACAGCCCGCGGCCCAGGCTGCGCTCTCTCAGCCACCCGAACAGTCTGGCGCCGGGGCCGCCCAGGCCGGCGCAGAGGCCGTGCCAGCCCCGGCTCCCGGCCTTGCAGTCCGGCCCGGAGCGCCGGCGCGGAGAGGAGGGCGGTGACGGCTCTCCCTCGGCGGAGGCGGCTGAGGACTCCAGCGCTCCGGCCGGCCCGAGCTCGCCAGCGCGCGCCGCCGGGGACAGCAAGGGGGCGCCGGGCCGGCGGGGGCTCCGGGCGGGCGGCGGGGGCGAGCCTGAGTCAGCCCCGGGCTGCGGCGGCGCGGGCGGGGGAGGAGAGGGCGGCCCGCCGGCTGCCGCTTGCCTTCCGTGGGGCGTCAGCTCCTCCGCCTGGTCCCCTTCGGGGCTACGGGGCCCGAAGGGAAACATGACCAACGCCCCCCGTCCCCGGCTCCCGGCCGCAGTCCCGCCTGCCGACACCTCAGCGCTCCCTCTCCTGCCGCTACTTCCGGGTGCGGCGGCCTAATTCCGCCGACTAGGAAACCCGCCCCGCCCAGCCGCGCCCCGCCGCGCCCAGCCGGCTGCCGTGCGCCGGGGACCGGGAAAGCAGAGGCACCGCCGCGGCCCTGAGAACCGAAGCCGGGTTGCCAGCTGTACGTTGGAGCGGGCGACCGATGCTGAAAGGCGGTCTGTAGTTGCCAGAGCCTGGTGGCTGCATGCCTGGGGACGAGGAGGCCACCGGGCAGGCCAGAGGCTGGGCAGGATTACGGACTGGCGTCTCCTTTACTGGGGGCAGCGAGGGCGGGTGGGGAATAATCGCATTATGTGCAGGTCACCCAGGGTAAGCGGCGTGGCGCACAGCCTGCTCAGCCCGGGAGTCTAAGGACTCGGGTTAATAATTTTTGCACTGAAAAGCCCTGCGGGGGCCGGCGCTGTGCTGCAGCGGGTTAACACCCTGGCCTGAATCGCCGGCATCCCAAATGGGCGCCGGTTCTAATCCCGGCTGCTCCACTTCCGATCCAGCTCTCTGCTATGTCCTGGGAAAGCAGTAGAAGATGGCTCAAGCCCTTGGGCCCCTGCACCCGCGTGGGAGACCCGGAAGAAGCTCCTGGCTTCCGATCGCCGCAGCTCTGGCCATGGCGGCCAATTGGGGAGTGAACCATCAGAGGGGAGACCCCTTGCTCTCCCCCTCTGCCTCTCCTCTCTCTGTGTAATTCTTTCAAATAAAAAAATATATTTTTAAAAAAAAAGCCCTGCTCTGCACAATGCCTAGAATATGGGGGCTACTAAGGCCCTGAATGTCTACCCAGCTCTAAGACTGACAGAGCCTTCCTCTCTACAGGATCACAATCCAGCCAAGAGTAACCGAGGGGAGCTGCAGACCTCAATCAGATCAACCCCTTAAGCAACAAAACCAGGGTCAGTCCTGCTTCCGGATCTGCCAGGCGGGCATGGAGGCCATGACGGAGGGAGGCTCTTTACGGTTGCTGCTGAGCGCAAACACACAAAGAAGAGTTAAGGGGAAGGGGTGGGGGCGGTTTCTTTGGGAAAGGAAGTAGGCCTCAGGAGAGCAGACAGAACAAGCAGCTGTCGTAGGCCTTGGTCAAGAGCCGTGTGGCACAGAAGGCTCACCTGCAGGCTGAGGTAGATCCGGAGGAACACCAGTAGGGCCTCCCGCCAGGAAAGTTAGTAGTTCACGCTCCCCCGGCCATGAGCTGACTGAGGAGGGGACACGAGGCAGGCGTCCGGAGTTGCACCAAGGAAAGCATTCTTGGGATGCCCTCCACCCACGTTGCTCCCACAGAGCACAGGGGTAGAGATCTGTTTTATGACCAACAAATAATGTCCCTTACGTGCCACAACTTCTGGTTGCAACAGACACTTAGTACAGGCCCTCTGTTTATTCTCCTCCCACACACCCCAGGCTATGGCCAAAATTGCATGTCCTGTAAAATCTTGACCATGATATTTACAAATGTCATTACCTTTTTAAATAAGTAAAATCAAGCTCAGTTTTAAAAGATTATATACTCCAAGGTATTGAAAGTACAGCTCGAACAGAAAAACACAAGCTCAAGATACTCAGATTTCAAAATCAGTGTGCTATAGCCCAAAGTTGATTAAGAACTGTTGACAGACAACTTGTAGAATCCAGAGAAACTAAGAGGGAACAAAAATATTTTTAGGTTTGCATGTAACTCTATCAGTTAAATAATGAGAATGATTCTTGAAAAGTTAATATGGCCACAAACTAAAGGCAATGATGGTTGTAATACATAGTTCATTTGGTAATGCCAATTTTTTTCTGAATATTCCTACTTAAGGTGTAAGTGCTAATGTATCCCAAATGATTTACTGAGACCCAAAATAAGAATTATATAGGACTAGAATTCTGTTGAAATTACAATGATTTTTACAACCTACCAGTAAAAAAAAAAAAATCACTTGAAGTTACCTGAGGAAACACTAAGACAGAACTAAACTTCACCTGTGCCTATTTACTCAGTGCCTTTAAAAGTTTTTAAATTTAACCACGTTAATAAGGAATTGATTTCAAATCACAGACTAGATAGGCTGATTTCAGTGTAACGTCATTTTTGAAAACTTTCAACTTCAGTTGCTTAAATCCAGCTGAATGTCACATTATCAGAAATACCTAAAGCTTTCTTTAAACTCCTTTGCCCCTGGTGGTCCTTTTAGATCACAATAAAAGTCAACAATTAGCAGTTTTTAAAAAATGTGTCCTCTATGCCTTAGTATCACATGTCCCTGGATATCCACAACATTTAGGATTCACCTTATCAAGCAGGCAAAGAACAACATTTATTCACTTCTCTATCCATTGACTTTTTTTTTTAATTACTTCCCAACTGCTGTCTTACAATGCAAAATGACTAAGATGTTAAACACTCGTCCCACTTTCATGCTTTGGGAGGAGCAAGCTCACTCTTGATGTCTTTAACATCACTGGTTCTGCCTATGAAATAGAATTCTTTGTTAGGAACAAGATTGACAAAATTAGCAAGGCGGTTGGACATGGCATAAAAAGCTGAAATTGCAGCTATGTCCCAGGCGTCTTCTTGACTGAAGCCATGCACTTCAAGTTTTTTGAAATGGTCATCTGTTATGTCATCTGCTTGGGAAATGGCAAGTGCAAACTCCAGCATCGCTTTTTCCCGAGCAGGGAGGTCAGACTTTCTCCAGTTCACAGAGACCTGCAAGAAGAAAACTTGGTCAGATGCAGAATCTCTGTCCATCGCAACATAGCCAATACAACATAAGGCCTCACAAAATTGCCAATAATGAGAACAGAGATCCAAGGTTAGCACAAAGGGGAAAACTCAACCCAAAATAAGCTTTCCAGAAGGCCAAGTATTTTGGATCAAGATCAATGGAAGGCAAACATAGAAGTGTGGCTCAGCACCATCTCTACCAAGAAGTCTTCGCTCATTGTGACTACAAAAACTTATTTTTTCTGTAAATATCCATGGCATCAGAAAATCCCAGATCTAATAACTTTCTGCTTCCAATTTATCAAAACAAGACACAATATGCAAAATAGCTGACATCAGGAGTTACTTTGTGCTAGGAATGTGCTCAGTGCTTCACATCCATTCTCTCACTTAATTCTTATAAGCCTAGGCAGTAGTGTTTTTATTACCATCCCCATTTTATTGACAAAGAAGCAGAAGCTCAAAGAGGTGGAGTGACTCCCCCAAGATCATACAGCTAGAGTAAGGCAGATCTGATTCCAGGTATACCAGAATCCAAAGACGACACTGACGATCATTACCCTTGCTGAAGCAAGAGCATGGAAATCACTAAAAACCTAAAAAGCCAATGGCCACTAGGGAGGCAGTACCTGGGAAACTGATCCTGGCTAACAAACAAGGTCAGATTAGTAGGCAAGAGGCACTCAGCAGGGCAAAGATGATAATCTTGAAGTTCTCTTGAGGTTGGCAACAGAGGTGCCTAGGGAACAGGCTGCAGGGTCTCCACTCAAGTCAAGGGAAGAGGTTGGAAAGTAGGGACACTGATGAACCCTAACCTCGAGCGTAATGAAGACAACAGAGGTTTCTGTTCCCTGGCTCTTAGGATCAGGGATTTCACTTAGGAATAAGAGGAATTTCGTAAGCTTGGTGACAAACCCACATCTGCTAGGTCTTTACCCTCAGTCCATTTCTCTAGAAATAATTAGTATGTCCTCTGACACCCAATGGACCTGATTTTGGATAAAGCCAATTAGACTAGGTTGCTGATTAAGGGGACTGCCAGTGCTGGTGGGAACGAGTGAATAAGGCAGTTCTGGAACAAATGGCAGGCAGGCCCAGGCCTAGGGCCAGCAGCAAGAAAAAAAATCCAACAGGCTGATCTGGACTCATTAGGAGATGAAACAAATTCCCTCTGGAAGTTGCAGACAGTGTAATGTAGCAGAAAGAGTACAGCTTTGCAAATGGACTATGCCACATTCTCATCAAATCCCCCATTCGAAAGTAAGTCTCTGAACCTCAAATGTAAAATTCAGGTTCAAGTATAAATGTCCCCCCACCTTGGAGGAGAAATTGTGTGCATTCCAGAGGATATATGCCAAGTTTCCAGTACCATGTCTGGCACAGGCTGGGGCTCCTACTTTGAAACATCATATCACACACACACACATACACACACACACACACAGAGGCCAGTGAATTCTGTGACAAAGAATGGAAGGTGAACTCATGCAGGTGGCAGAGCTAGAGGCCTTGTTCATTGCCCTTTCTTTATGTACACAGAGGCCCTGAAACTGTCACAGGGGAGGCAGGCACTAACCTGGTCAGAGAGCACTGGGTTCTTCGAGTAGACCCTGTACCGGGCACTATGGGCAGCCACATTGTATGGGCACCTGTTGGCTAGGCTGGTCACCACAATGATGAGTTCCTTGTCAGCTCTGCTGAGTTGGCCTGGGGAGGAAGTAGAGAGCAGACTTGTCCACAAGCTCAGAGCAGTAGCTCAGAACAACCTAGACAGGCTCAGCCATGTTTTAGCAATGGAGTTGTCCACCCATCCAGTTTCTTGCTATCAACTATTATATTTTCTTCACAGTATTTAATATTCTCTGAAGTTACCTTGTTCTTTTATTTTACTTAGTTTTTCACTGTCTGTTCTCTCCTCTCAATAGTATATTTGAGGGGCAAGCATTGTGGCATAGCAGGTAAAGCATGGCCTGCAATGTCAGTATCCCGTATGGGCACCAGTTCATGTCCTGGTAGCTCCACTTCTAATCCAGCTCCCTATTAATGGACTGAGAAAAGCAGAGGATGATGGTCCAAGTGCTTGGGCCCCCACCACTCATATGGGAGACCTGAGAGAAGTTCCTAGCTCCTGGTTTCAGCCTGGCCAGCCCTGGCGATTGCAGTTACCTGGGGAGTGAAACAGTGGATGGAAGACCTCTCTCTGTGTGTCTCTCTTTCCCTCTCTACAATTCTGAATTTAAAATAAATAAGATTTTTAAAAAAGTATATTTGAAAGTCCATTTTTCTGACTCCTAAGAGAAGTACTTGGCATATAATAGTCACTCAGAAAATATGTGGAATGAACTACTCAATTCATATAAAATTTTTTGAGGACCATCAGGTGTTGGGATAACAGTTAAAATGAGGAAGTGGGGGCTGGTGTTGTGGCGCCGGCATCCTATATGGGCACCAGTTTGTGTCCCAGCTGCTCCTCTTCTGACCCAGCTCTCTGCTCATAGCCTGGGAGGGCAGTAGAAGACGGCCCAAATGCTTGCGCCCCTGCACCTGTGGAGGAGACCGGAAAGAAGCTCCTGGCTCCTGGCTTTGGATTCGCTCAGCTCCAGCTGTTGCAGCCATTTAGGGAGTGAACACGTGGATGGAAGACCTCTCTCTCTGCCTCTGCCTCTATCTGTAACTCTACCTCTCAAATAAAATCATTTTTTAAAATGAGGAAGAAAAAGAACGGTTTCCTAACCTCAGGGGACCTACTTCTTGGGGGAAAGGAGAGCCAGAGACGGAGGGAGGGAACTACTTGGTACCTGGCACAGTTCTGGGAACTTCATGCTATCTCATTGAATCTTCACACCAGCTTTGCACAGTGGGATTAGTAACACCGTATTACCAGTAGGAAACTAAGGCTTTGATATATTTAAGTATTTTGCTGAAGTTCACTTGGATTATTTATGGCAGAACTCTGATGTGAACAAAGTACCAATCTTTTCTTACTGGACTAGAAAGACTGGACAGATAAGATGCTAACATAAGGCAGACAGCATTCTGCATGCCACTGGAAAAGAGCAGATGAAGGAGGTGGTAGGAGATCAGAGGAGAAAGAATTTCTTATCAGTAAAGGCAAATGAGATGGACTTCCAAGGATAGATCAGATTCACAAGGCACAGATAGGAGAAAAGGCAATCCAGGGATACAGAAAAACATAAACAAAGTTAGAAGATAATCATGAGACCTGAATGCTGTGGTTAAACAGCCCACTTGACTCAGGACATAAAGAGGGCTGTGGGAGATCAGGCCAGTAAGGCAGACTGCTGTGAGGCCAGGAAGAAACACTAACAGACCGCTGGCCTTCTCCTACTCCCCATTCTCACTTTTCTTTAGTAATAGAATCCCTTAATTTTAGCCAGGCACCTGCCACACGGCTTCCCTCACAGCTAGAGGTGACAGTAAAACAAAGTTCTGGCCAATGGGACATAAATGGAAGCAGATGTTATGATCTTAAAGGTGTGCCCAGCAGTGCCCCACCCTCCCCCTGTCTCTCTTATGGTAGGCAATGATGAGCCTCCATGAGTTTGTAAGCGAGCACAATTCCAAACAGTAAACAATAAGTCACACATTAGCCCTCTGCAGCTCACATAGGGACTAGTAGAGCGAAGAGAGAGGCAACAAATAAATAAATAAATCTTGTTTAAACCACTTTATCTTAGGCTCTGGGAAGTAGTAATCTGAATCGTAAATGATAAATCCATGATTGCCAGGTTGAAGACCAGTGAGATGTATGCAAGGGTGGTAGGGAACCATGGATGGCTTTTAAACCTGAAGAAAGATGAGCCAGAGTTCTTAACTAACGTATTTTAGTTCTGTACTTAAAACCATAAAAGTTGCATTAGGACCTCAGACTCAGAATTCAGAGGAGCTGAGCTTCTCTCTATGCCCACAGCAGTCAGGGACTACATGGGAAGGAATGCTGCTAAGTGATCTCATCCAGGAACCACCTAGCCTTATTTCTTCATTTACCTGTTTCTTTGTTGCAGATGACATTATAATAAGCAAAGAAGGCTCTGAATTCCAATGGCCGGTAAGACAACACTTTAAATATATTTGGTAAAAATCCTGTCTGCAAGGAAAAAAAAAAAAAGACAGGGTCATACAAAATGGAAACTAAGAACAGAATGGGCAACAATTATTGTCTGCCGAATGCCAGATGAAATCTTAGGAAGGTAATGGTCTCCTCCACATGCCCTTACCTGTTAGGATGTTATTTTTAAAGGTGTATATGGCATCTTTTTGGTAAGTCATCTTAAGAAATTAGAGTGAATGCTAAAACAAAACCAAGTGACACTTGGAATTTAGGTTCTACTGCTTAGGTCCCACCTTTTCACAGAAGGGCTGGTAGTACTCATTTCTTCTAAAATTAAATTTGTAATAAGCCTTGCTATCAGTACTGTTTAAAATTCTTTCATACATCTCTACAACCCTGCAAGGCAGATATGGTAAGTACTATCCTTCCCACTTTAGATAACTGAGACCCAGAGCGGTTGAGTGATTTGCTCAAGGCCATACCAAATACCAAAAGTAAAGTGCAGCTGTGGGATTTTGATACTGAGTTTTCAGAATAGTCTCTCTCTCTCTTTTTAAGATTTTATCTATTTATTTGAGAGGCAGAGTTACAGACAGCAAGAGGGAGACATGTCTTCCTTCTGTTGGTTCACTCTCCAAATGACCGCAATGGCCAGAGCTGTGCCAATCCAAGGCCAGAAGCCAAGTACTTCTTCCTGGTCTCCCATGCGGGTGCAGGGGCCCAAGCACTTGAGCCATCTTCTACTGCTTTTCCAGGCCATAGCAGAGAGCTAGACTGGAAGAGGGGCAGCTGGGACTAGAACCAGCGCCCATATGGGATGCTGGTGCCACAGACAGAGGATTAACCTATTGTACCATGGAGCTGACCCCTAGAATAATTTCTAATGGGATGCTGTGGCAGACAACTGTTGGGCTGCTATTCAACAACCATATTTTTTTTCCCTCTTCTCTTGACAACAGAACTTGGATGTTGTTCAGATACGAGATTTCCATGAGTTTCAGAGAAGGCTAAGTCCTTCCTCAATGCTAGTAAGAGAATCCCTATCGGTCTAAACCAAACCATTCACGGTGATTTCATTCCACTTCTCAATGGCTGGCTGAAGAACGGGCATGTGACACCATTCTGCCTAATGAGAAATGAGAAGTCAGCTGGAAGCCTTCTTCCCTCTCCAAAAAGCACAAGCATGCCCTCCTCTCCTCGCACAGGAGTTGTGCTGTGATGGTCATCTAATAACCATGAGGGGATTATCTGAGCACAGTCACCATACTGAGAAGACAAAGCCCAAGATGAAGAGACACTGATCCTTGATGACATCACTGAGCCACTGAATCAAACAATTCAGGGGTCGCCTACCTCTGGACTTACTGCTAATAAGTGAGATATTGAATTGTCTTTATTGTTATGCTGGCTGAATTGAACTTGCTGTACAACTTGTAGCTGAAAGCATCCTAACTGATAATAAATGCTAAAGCCTCTAGAAGACATACCATAGGGGTCGGCGCTGTGACACAGCAGGTTAAAGCCCTGGCCTGAAGCGTCAGCATCCCATATGGGCACTGGTTCTAGTCTCGGCTGCTCCACTTCCCATCCAGCTCTCTGCTGTGGCCTGGGAAAGCAGTAGAAGATGGCGCAAGTCCTTGGGCCCCTGCACCCACGTGGGAGACCCAGAGGAAGCTCCTGGCTCCTGGCTTTGGATCGGCACAGGTCTGGCCGTTGCAGCCATCTGGGGAGTGAACCAGCAGATGAAAGGCATCTCTCTCTGCTCTACCTCTCCTTGTAACTCTTTCAAATAAAATAAAATAAAATAATCTTTAAAAAAAAGAATACATAGCATAAAGAAACATTAACATTGCTAGGGTAGAGTCTGGGGAAGGAAGGGAGAAGGGGTAAGGTGTGGATAGGGAAGATGGTGCTGAGAGAGGGTGAGGGCTCCAAACTCTTCCCATCACCGCAGCCAGGTTTTTAAACACTTTTATACGAGGGTATTTCAACAAGTTCATGGGAAAATGGAATTAAAGGTAAGGAATTTAAAACAGAATTAAACTTTTTGAAGAACCCTTGTATAATGAATTTCTATGCAGTACTTTCTTTGAAAAAAGAAAAAAATCCACTGAGGCCAGCATTGTGCTAGCTGCCACCTAAATCCCATATCGGAGCACTGGTTTGCATCCCAGCTGTTCTGCCTCTGATACAGCTCACTGCTAGAGTGCCTGGGAAAGCAGAGGAGGATGGTCCAAGGTGCCTGGACCCCTGTCACCCATGTAGAAGACCCGGACTGAGTTTCTGGCTCCTGGCTTTGGTCTGGCCTGGCCTGCCTTCGCCTAGCCTAGCCGTTGTGGCCACATGGGGAGTGAGCCAGTACATGGAAGATCTCTTTCTCTCCCTCTCCATCATGCTGCTTTTTAAATAAAATAAAATCAATATTTTTTAAAACGATAAAATTCTTTTTTAAAAAAATTTATTTGTTTAAAAGAGTTACAGAGAAAGGGGGAGAGACAGAGGGAGAAGGAGATATCTTCCATCTGCTGATTCACACCCCAGATGGCTACAATGGCTGGGGCTGCGCCAGGCCAGAGCCAGGGGCTTCTTCCCGGGGCGCAAGGACCATCTTCCACTGCTTTTCCCAGGCCATTAGCAAGGAGCTGGATTGGAAGTAGAACAGCCAGGACTCAAACTGGCACCCATAAGGCTGTGGCTTTACCTGCTATTTCACAATGCCAGCCCCAAAACCTACAAAATTCTATAACCAACTTTGAAAAATAAAAATTTAGAATAAATGTCTATGTTTAAGGAAGAGTCTTAGACTTTGTCAGCAAAGATCACTGGCTTTACAAACTACCATCAGAAAATAATTCAGGAATGTACATGAAACCATATATATGAACACAGAAAGTATGTTAAAAAACAAACACACACACACAAACTTTGATTCAAGTCCTAAATGTCAAGGATTTAGAGTGCTAAAATAAATTGCAGTAGCTCTATTATACAATGTTCTATCATGCAGCAACTAAAAAGAATGTTTGACCTAGAAACATGTTCATGAAAACATGATTTCATTAAAAAAATTTACAACAAAAGAAAACACATCAAAATGCCATTAGTGGGTCAACTTTAAAAGGCAGAATCAGATTTATATGGTTTTTTAAATTTTCTTATTTAGTTTCACTAATTTTTCAACCTATAATTTCTAAAACTAATACATTTCACAGAAAAGAGTAAGGTAGCTTTCACTTGCTTAAGCAGTTAGCACACATTCTGCATGGTTGTATCTCTACACCACACTCTACAGAGAGCACACCTCAGTCACAGGTTAGCAGAAAACTGAGTGACAAAGAAGATGAGAAGCCAAGAGGCTTCGCCTAAGCAAGAGGGTTTGGAAAAGTATGCAATCGGGATACCTGGAGAGCCCAAAGGAAGGTTCATCCGCCCTGGGGAGCCCGGACAGCCCGCAGCATCAAAGGCTTGTGCTGGCGGGATCCCACACCACACGAGTCTCACCTTCCTTTCGATCTCCTCCATGAGCTCTAAAATATCAAAAGGCAAGTCCTTCTTGTAGGGAATGGGGTAACGGCTGATGGGTTTGGACTTCTCATCCTGCTGAGTCTCATAAAGGCGCAAGTTCAGGGTCACCACAGGCAATGTTTTCCACAATCTATTTGTAACAATGTGAAGAGACTGAAAAGAAACAAAGACAGATTTGGATGGGTTACTGAAGGAATGGCTTGGAAAATCACTCTGCACATTTTTTGTTTGTTTGTTTTAAGATTTATTTACTTGAAAGTCAGAGCTACAGAGGGACAGAGACAGAGATTTATCTTCCATCCACCAGTTCACTCCCCAGGGCTGAGCCAGGGCGAAGCCAGGAGCCAGGAGTTTCATCTGGGTCTCCCAGATGGGTGCAGGAGCCCAAACACTAGGACCATCCTCTGCTGCCTTTCCCATGCCACCAGCAGGGAGCTGGATCAGAAGCAAAGCAGCTGGGACACAAACCGGCACACACGGAAGACCAGTGTCGCAGGCAGTGGCTTTACTACTATGCCACAATCCTGGCCACAACAGCCAGAGCTGTGGCTACCTGAAGCCAAGAGCCAGGAGCTTCTTCCAGGTCTCCCATGCAGGTGCAGGGGCCCAACGACTTGGGCCATCTTCTATTGCTTCCCCAGGCCATAACAGAGAGCTGGATCAGAAGTGGAGCAGCTGGGACTCGAACTGGCAGCCACATGGGATGCTGGCACTGCAGGTGGCGGCTTTACCTATGCCACACCGCTAACCCCGGTAATAGCTTTCTAAATGAAGAGTGGAAAACAAAAACATGGATGAGCAGCTCTTTTATGCCTTTTACCACATACAGTTATAAGAGGGCTTCAAGAAAAATCAAAATCATGGTTTTCTAGAAAACTCAGTCTGGTCAAGATGTCCCAGGCTGTGAAAGATGGTGCGATAATGCAGGGCTCAGTGGAAGCCCAACTGTCTCAATGGAATCCTGGCTGTGTGCTCTAAGGCAGGTTATTTCTCTTACTTCAATTCCTTTATCTGCACTGTCGAAAATAATACTAAAACCACAGAGCTCTATGAGGATTTGCTAACACAGGGGCTGGCGTTGAGTTGTGAGTGAAGCACCAATTTGAGTCCTGCATGCTTCCTTTCCCTTCCAGCTCCCTGCTAATGTGCCTGAGAAAGCAGCAGGAGATGGCCCAAGGACTTGGGCCCTGCCACTCCCGCGGCAATTCCTGGCTCCTGGCTTCAGCCTGGCCCAGCTCTGGCTGTTGCAGCAATCTGGGGAGTGAACCAGCAGATGGAAGATGTTTCTCTCTGTCTCTGTCATTCTGCCTTTCAAATACTAAATAAACAAATACTTATTTAAAAATAATATAAAACTTTTTAAACTCATATAATGCCTAGTATGTGCCTAATAATTCAAATCATATGTTATGTTGGTACTGTTATCCCTATTTTAAAGATAAAAGAAAAGACACCGAAAAGTCACAGAGCCTTCAAGAAGCAGAGCAAATCCAGGCAGTCATGCTGATAACCATGTGTTATGCTGTACATACAAGCTCACTGCTAAGGACTGCAACTCAATACTTTTTGATTTAATTGATTAATTATAGAGACAAAAAGAGTTCCCATCGGCTACCCGAATGCCTGCAGTGCCTGGCTGGCACTTGAGCCACCACTGCTGCTTCCCAGGGTCTGCAATTAGTAGGAAGCTGGAGTCAGGTGCAGAGTCTGGCATCGTACCCACACACTTTGATACAGGACACATGCATCTTAACTGTTGTCTTAGTGGCTAGACCAAATGCCTGCTCAACAGTACTTCTTAAAAACTTCTAAACCTGGGGCCAGTGTTGTGGCATAGTGGGTAAAGCTGTTGCCTGCAATTCTGGCATCCCATATGGGTGCCAGTTATATCCCAGCTGCTCAGCTTCTGATCCAGCTCCCTGCTCAAGGCCTGGGAAAGCAGTGGAAGATGGCCCAAGACCTTGGGCCCTTGCACCCACATGGGAGACCCAGAAGAAGTTCCTAGCTCCTGGCTTTGGCCTGGTCCAGCACCGCCTGTTGTGGCCATCTGGTGAGTAAAGCAGTAACTCTGACTTTCAAAATAATTAAAAAATAAATAATTAAATCTTTTTTTTTATTTAAATTTTTTTTTATTTGACAGGTAGAGATATGGAGAGAGAGAGAGAAAGAGAGAAAGGTCCTCCCTCCGTTGGTTCACTCCCCAAATGGCTGCCACGGCCAGCACTGCACCAATCCAAAGCCAGGAGCCAGGTGCCCCCTCCTGGTCTCCCATGCAGGTGCAGGGGCCCAAGCACTTGGGCCATCCTCCACTGCCCTCCCGGGCCACAGCAGAGAGCTGGACCGGAAGAGGAGCAACTGAGACTAGAACCCGGTGCCCACATGGGGTGCTGGTCCCAGCCCCAGATCTTTTTTTTTTTTTTTTTGGGACAGGCAGAGTTAGACAGAGAGAGAGACAGAGAGAAAGGTCTTCCTTCCATTGGTTCATCCCCCAAATGGCCGCTGCAGCCAGTGTGCTGTGCCGATCCGAAGCCAGGAGCCAGGTGCTTCCTCCTGGTCTCCCATGTGGGTGCAGGGCCCAAGGACTTGGGCCATCCTCCACTGCCTTCCCAGAAGAGCTGGACTGGAAGAGGAGCAACCGGGACAAAATCTGGCACCCCGACCGGGACTAGAACCTGGGGTGCCGGTGCCGCAGGTGGAGGATTAGCCTAGTGAGCCGCGGTGCCAGCCCCCAGATCTTTTTTTTAAGATAACTTCTAAATCTAAGCCAATCTATAAGTCTCAGGCCTGGTCCCTGCTTTCTCCTAAACCCTTCTTAACATTTGTTTTTAAAGATTTACTTTATTTATTTGAAAGCGTTACAGAGTGAAGTAGAGCCAAACAGATGCATTCACAGGGAGGTGGATTGGAAGTGAGGCAGCCAGGACTCAATCTGGCACTCTCATGGGATTCTGGCTGTGCAGGTGTTGGCTTACCCACTTTGTCACAATGCTGGCCCCATATAGTTTAAAACTTTTTGTTAACAAAAAAGAAAAAAACAGATACTTTATGATCATAAAATATAGACTGAATTTTGCTACCCATCCTTATAGTCCAGCACAATCCATAAAGGAAAAAATTAGTAATTGAATATCATCAAAATTTTAAACATGCTTCAAAAGACATCATTAGGAAAATGCAAAGCCACAGAAAGGGAGAAAATACTTGCAAAACAAATGTCTAATAAAGGACTTGTCTAGAATAAAGATTGTAACTCAGTAAGACAAACAACTTATGGCCAGCATTGTGGCACAGTGGGTTAAGCCACCACTTGCAATGCATCCCATATAGGCGGAATTGATCTCTCGGCTAATGCGCCTGAGAAAGCAGAGGAAGAGAGTGAGAATATTTGGGCCCTTGCCACCCACATGAGACACTTAGATGGTATTTGGGGCTCCTGGCTTTGGCCGGCTAATGGGGCCATCTGGGGAGTAAAAACTAGCAGACGGATCACTCTGAGTCACACATTTTCTCCATAGTTCTGCCTATCTTTCTTTTCTTTTTTTTTAATTTTTTGACAGGCAGAGTGGACAGTGAGAGAGAGAGACAGAGAGAAAGGTCTTCCTTTTTGCCGTTGGTTCACCCTCCAATGGCTGCCGCGGCCGGCGCATCGCACTGATTCGAAGCCAGGAACCAGGTACTTCTCCTGGTCTCCCATGGGGTGCAGGGCCCAAGCACTTGGGCCATCCTCCACTGCGCTCCCTGGCCACAGCAGAGAGCTGGCCTGGAAGAGGGGCAACTGGGACAGAATCCAGCGCCTGACCGGGACTAGAACCCGGTGTGCCAGCGCCGCAAGGCAGAGGATTAGCCTAGTGAGCCGCGGCGCTGGCTAGCTCTGCCTTTCAAATAAATAAATAAATCTCTTTTTTAAAAAGAGGCAGAGACAGAGAGAGATCTTCCCTCTGCTGATTCACTCCCAGATGGCTGCAACGATTGGAGCCAGGATGATCCGAAGCCAGGAACCAGGAGCTTCTTCTGGGTCTCCCATGTGGAAGTAGGGAACCAAGCACTTGGGCCATCTTCCACTGCTTTCCAAGGCCATAGCAGAGAGCTGGACCATAAGTGGAGCAGCTGGGTCTTGAACCGGCACCCATATGGGATGCCAGCACTGCAGGTGGCAGCTTTACCCATTATGCCACAGTGCCGGCCCCAATAAATTTTTTTTCTAAAGACAAGGAACCCATTTAAAAAATGGGCAAAAGATAGGAAGAAGATATTTCATTAAAGAAGATATACAAAATTTTTTGCCACACTTGTTTCATCTATTCCTCTACTTTTCCTGTAGAAACAATTCTTTTACTGTAGTAGAATATACATAACATGAAATTTGCCATTTTAAACATTTTTGGTATATGTTTGAATAGCATTAAATACTTTGTTGGATAATAATCACCAACACCTCCAGAACTTCCTTGATGTTCCCAGGCTGAAATTCTACACCCATTAGGCTCTCTTCCCGGTCCCTAAGGAGTACTACTCAACTTTCTGTTTCTAATGCGGACATTTCCTATACATGCACTAAAACAATATGCGGCCTTATTTTTTTTATGTGGCTTCTTTCATAGAGCATGCTCTCTAGGTTTATTTATGTATCAGTACTTAGTTCCTTTGTGGCCTGAATAACATTGCTTTGGAAGATACATCGTATTTTGTTTATTCATCAGTTTGTGAACATACACTGTTTGCACTTTTGAGTCATTATAAGTAATTCTACTCTAAACATTTCTGTGCAAGATTTTGTACAAAGAGAAGCTTTCAATTTTTCTGTCTGATATGGGATGCACACATCCCAAGCAGCAGCTTAACCCACTGCACCACAAGACGCACCCCTCTTGGGAATATTCTAGAAATGGAATTACCAGTTTGAGGAACTGTGAAACTGTTTTTTCAAAGTCACTGCCTTATTTTACACTCCTACCAATAAGATGAATATTCCAATTTTTCTACATCCATGCTAACACTTGTTATTTTGTCTTTGATGACAGCCACCCTAGTGCAGATAAAATGGTATCTCATGTTCTTATTTTGCATTTCCCTGCTAACGGTATTGAGCATCTCTTCATGTGCTTACTCACAATTTATGTATTTTCTTTGAAGAAACGTCTACTTAGATCCTTTGCCTACTTTTACACTGGGTGATTTTTTTTTTTAAGATTTATTTATTTATCTGAAAGGCAGAATTACAGAGAGGCAGAGGCAGAGGGAAAGAAAGAAAGAGGTCCTCCATCCGCTGGTTCACTCCCCAGATGGCTGCAACGGCCAGAGCTGCACGATCCGAAGCCAGGAGCTAGGAGCCTCCTCCAGGTCTCCCATATCGGTGCAGGGGCCCAAGGATTTGGCCTCTTCCACTGCTTTCTCAGGCCATAACAGAGAGCCAGAACAGAACTGGAGCAGCCAGGACTCGAACCACCGCCCATATGGGATGCCGGCACTGCAGGTTTCAGCCCCGTCTGCTACATCACAACGCAGGTTCCTGGGTGATCTTTTTATCACTGAGTTATAAGAGCTCCTTATCCATTCCAGATATATGTCCTTTATCAAATGTATGATTTTTCAAGTATTTTCTCCCATTCTTTGGGTTGTCTATTCTAATTTTGATGAAGTTTAATGTTTATATATTTTTCCCTTGGATGCTGGTGTATTTGGTGGTGTCATATTGAAGAAACCACTGCCATATCTAATATCATCACGATTTACCTGTTTTCTTCCAAGAGGTTTTTTTTTTTCCTTTAAGACTTATTTCTTTATTTTCAAAGTTAGAGTTACAGAGAGAGAGGGATCTTCCATCTGCTGGTTCACTCTCCATATGGCCACAACAGCCAGGGCTGGACCAGGCCAAAACCAGGAGCCAGCAGCTTCTTCCAGGTCTCCCACATAAGTGGTGGGGCCCAAGCACTTGGACCATCTGCTACTGCTTTTCTCAGGCAGTTAGGAGGGAGCTGGATTGGAAGTTAAGCAGCTGAGACTTGAACCAAGACGGGATGCTGGCATCTCAGGCAGCAGCTTTACCCACTACTCCACATGGCTGGCCCCTCAAACAGCTTTGTAAGATAGCATTGACATTTAAGTCTTTGACCCATTTAAAGACATTATATGTATTTTTTTTTACATGTGGATATCCAATTTTCCCAATGGAATTGTCTTGGCACCTTGTCAAAAAATCAGTTAATTATTAAGTGTGGGGTCTTATTTCTGTGTGTGTTTTACATTTTTTTTATTTGAAATGCAGCCAATGATGGCTCTCTCTCCAAATGTCCACAATAGCCAGAGTTGGGCGAGGCCAAAGCCAACAGCGCAGATCTCAGTCTGAGTCTCCCTCGTGGGTGGCAACCACTGAAGTACTCAGGTCACCACCTGCTACCCCCTAGGGCACTATGTTATGCTGGTACCCTTCTATCCGGGTTACTGCAGGCTTGGAGCAAGCTTTGAAATCAAAGATGTGAGTCCTCCAGCTTTGTTCATGACTGTTGTGGCTCTTCTGGGTCCTTTGAATGTCTGCAACAAAGCTGGTTGGATTCTGAGAGGGTTTGGGTTAAATCAATCTGTAAATTTGGAGAATATTGCTACCCTAACAATATTAAATATCCTGATTATCCTGATCCATAAACACAACAGAGTGCTGTTCCAATTACTCAGATCTTCTTTAATAACTTTTAATTTCTTTCAATACTTTGCAGCACTTATGTTAAATTTTTCCCAAGTGTTTTATTCTATGTGATGCTTCTTTAAATGGAATTATTTTTAAAATTTCATTTTTTGTTGTTCATTTCATAAATAGAATTGATTTTTTATATATATTGTTCTTGAATCCTGAAATTTTCCTGAATTTGTTAGTTCTAATGGTTTTCTTCGGATTTTCTATATATCAGAAATCACCTGCAAATAGACACTTCACTTCTTCCATTCCTACCTTGATACCTTTTATTACTTTACTTTTTTTTTTTTTTTTTTTTTTTGCCAAATTGCTCTGGTAGAACCTCCAGTACAATGCTGAACACAAGTGGTGAGAGCAGACTTCCCTGTTTTAGTCCTGATCTTAGAGGGAAAGGTTTAGGTCTTTCACGATTCAGTATGTTAGCTGCAGGTTTTTCATAGATGCCCTTCATCAGGAAGGGAAGTTCCCCTCTACTATTACTTTTTATTGTGACATGGATAGACTTTGTCAGTGCTTTTTTCTATATCTACAGAGATGGTGTCTTCTTTTTTAAAAGATTTATTTATTTATTTGAAAAGTCAGAGTTACACAGAGAGAGAAGGAGAGAGAGAGGTCTTCCATCCACTGGTTCACTCCCCAAACAGCCACAATGGCTGGAGCTGGGACAGTCCAAAGCCAGGAGCCAGGAGCTTCCTCTGTGTCTTCCACGTGGGTGCAGGGGCCCAAAGACCTGGGCCATCTTCTACTGCCTTCCCAGGCCATGGCAGAGAGCTGGATTGGAAGTAGAGCAGCCAGGACTTGAACCAGAGTTCATATGGGATGCTGGCACTGCAGGCGGCAGCTTTACCCACTAATCCACAGCGCCGGCTCCAGAGATGGTATCTTCTTTAAATGTTTGGTATTCTTTACCACTGAAGCCTTCTTAGCCTGGGCAGACGTACCTTAGGATCTTACAGCCTCATGAGATTTTATGCCAATGATCAATGTTTTGCTCTGAGCTCCAAATTTACCCTTTGCTGCTTATCTGAGAAAATGGACTTGGGTCTGTGAATTTTTTTTTCCTTTGATATCTATCATAACAATAAGCTTTACAGGTAGAAGGCCCGGGAGAGTCATTGCAGAAGTGCGTTTTACTTCCTGGTGCCAGCATGCTCACTGGCACACTCCTACAACAGAAGTTCCTCCAGCATCTGTATACGCTTTAGAAACACCTAGCGGGGACAGCTCTGTGGCACAATGGGTTAAAGCTGAGGCCTGCAGTGCTGGCGTCCCATAGTTCCAGCACCCTGGTTTGAGTCTTGGCTGCTCCACTTCCAATCCAGGTCCTTATTAATGTGCTGGGAAAGCAGTAGAAGATGGCCCAAGTCCTTGGGCCCCTGCACCCACGTGGGAGACCCACAAGAAGCTCCTGGCTCCTGGCTTTGGCTTGGCCCAGCCCTGGCCTTTGCAGCCATTTGTGGAGTGAACCAGCAGATGGCAGATCTCTCTCTGTCATTCCCTTTCTATAACTACTTCTCAAATAAATAATAAAAATCATTTTTAAAAAAAGTATATAGGGGCCGGCACTGTGGCACAGTTGTTTAATGCCCTAGCCTGAAGCGCCGGCATCCCATATGGGCGCCGGTTCAAGACCCAGCTGCTCCACTTCTGATCCAGCTCTCTACTATGGCCTGGGAAAGCAGCAGAAGATGGCCCAAGTCCTTGGGCTCCAGCACCCGCATGGGAGACCTGGAGGAAGCTCCTGGCTCCTGGCTTCAGATCGACGCAGATCTGGCCGTTGCGGCCATCTGGAGAGTGAACCAGTGGATGGAAGATCTCTCTCTCTCTCTGCCTCTTCTCTCTCTGTGTAACTCTGACTTTCAAATAAATAAATAAATCTTAAAAAAAAAAAAAAAGTAGGCCGGCGCCGCGGCTCACTAGGCTAATCCTCCGCCTTGCAGCGCCGGCACACCGGGTTCTAGTCCCGGTCGGGCGCCGGATTCTGTCCCGGTTGCCCCTCTTCCAGGCCAGCTCTCTGCTGTGGCCAGGGAGTGCAGTGGAGGATGGCCCAACTACTTGGGCCCTGCACCCCATGGGAGACCGGATAAGTAACTGGCTCCTGCCATCGGATCAGCGCGGTGCGCCAGCAGCGGCGGCCATTGGAGGGTGAACCAACGGCAAAGGAAGACCTTTCTCTCTGTCTCTTTCTCTCTCTCACTGTCCACTCTGCCTGTCAAAAAAAAAAAAAAAAAAAAGTATATGGGGGCCCGCCCTGTGGCTGTGGCAGGAAAAGCCGCCGCCTGCAGTGCTGGCATCCCATAAGGACGCCGGTTTGAGACCCAGCTGTTCCACTTCCCACCCAGCTATCTGCTGTGGCCTGGGAAAGCAGTAGAAAATGGCCCAAGTCCTTGGGACCCTGCAACCACATGGGAGACTTAGATGAAGCTCCTGGCTCCTGGCTTCGGATCGGCGCAGATCCGGCCGTTGGGGCCAATTGGGGAGTGAACCATCGGATGGAAGACCTAGCTCTCTCTGCCTCTCCTTCTCTCTCTGTGTAACTTACTTTCAAATAAATAAGCTTTTTTAAAAAAGTATATGAATTGCAGAGATAAAGGCCAGAGGTACTGGAAGGCAGAGCTGCCATGGCTGCATGGCTCAGAACCGGCAAACCCTCAATGGAGAAGAGCCTAATTCACCCAGGCCCATTTTCCGAGAAATTCCCACGTGCGCGTCCCAGGATGAATGGCACACACAGCCCGCCGCGAAGGGCCTCCTCTGCATTGCCAACGTGCCGTCCCTTTTACAACCAGAAAAGGCAGCAGGAGAGGCTCAAAACAAAGACCTCGGGAATCTTTGGCGTAGCGGTTGACACCCACATCCCACAGGGGAGTGCCTGGGTTCGAGTCTCGCCCCGGGCTCCTGAGGCCAGCACCTTGGGGGACAACACTAAAGGCTCACAGAGTTAGGGCTCTGAGCCACGTGGGAGACCCGGATTGGGTTCCGGGGTCCTGGCTTGGGCCATGCCGTATCAGCCGCGAAGGGCATTTGGGGAGGGAACCAAAGGGCAGGTTCTCTGTCTCTTGAATAAACAAACAACAAACTTAGAATGGACCTCACGGGACTCCAGGCCCGGGCCGGGCTGCTTGAAGCCGAGAGCCGGGCCTGGAATCCCACTCTGCACACGCGCCTGGGTTCTCAGGATCCCACCGGGTAGTGGGCGACCTGCACTGCCTGCTGCCCAGATCGCGCGAGCCCTCACTCACCGGCCTCAACACTCCGAGGCAGCGAAGCACCGCCATGGCGTCGCGGGCCGGCGGCTTTCCTGCGCGCCCCGCCCCTGGGCGTGTCTGGTGGGCGGAGCCCGGGAGCGACGACGACCCGCCCCCGCGCTTCCGGTCTCCTGGCGTTTGGGGCTGTCTTCAGTGGTCTTGGCTTTAGAGACGGCTACTGCCGCGTGCTGCTTCCGGAGGAAAGTGGATTCCGTAGGACTCCGCACTAGGTCTGAGCGGAGTTTCTTCCTGAGACCCCACCACTGATGTGGGGAGCCTGAGGGACAGCTCAGGGAACATTATCCGGCCTTCCCCTCTGCCTGACCTAAACAGGAGGTCGTTGAACACTCTTCAGCCACGGCCTTGGGTCGGCCGTGATTGAAGTGGACTTGGTCACTGAATATTTACTGGTTCCAGGCCCTCTGGAGTTGGGTTGGAATGGAGAGAAACCCCCAAGTCTTTGCCAGGGAAATTAATCAAAAACACTTCTTTCAGGCCGGCGCCGTGGCTCAATAGGCTAATCCTCCACCTTGCGGCGCCGGCACACCGGGTTCTAGTCCCGGTCGGGGCGCCGGATTCTGTCCCTGTTGCCCCTCTTCCAGGCCAGCTCTCTGCTATGGCCCAAGAATGCAGTGGAGGATGGCCCAGGTGCTTGGGCCCTGCACCCCATGGGAGACCAGGAAAAGCACCTGGATCCTGGCTCCTGCCATCGGATCAGCGCGGTGCGCCGGCTGCAGCGGCGGCCATTGGAGGGTGAACCAACGGCAAAGGAAGACCTTTCTCTCTCTGTCTCTCTCACTGTCCACTCTCCCTGTCAAAAAAAAAAAAAAAAAAGCAGAGAGCTGGACTGGAAGAGGAGCAACTGGGACAGAATCCGGCGCCCCGACCGGGACTAGAACCTGGAGTGCTGGCGCCGCAGGCAGAGGATTAGCCTAGTGAGCCGCGGCGCCGGCCCAGGCATTGTTTCATACCAGACCTTGGGCTACAATCAGAACTAGAGTGGTCGGCATGGAAGAGAACACAAACAGGCAAGACCAATACGTTTTCTTCTCTAGTTACAATCAAGGTTTTTTTTTTTTTATGATTTATTTTATTTATTTAAAAGGCAGAGTTACAGAGTGACAGAGCTCTTCCACCTCCTGGTTCACTCCCCAAATGGCCTCCAAGGCAGGGGCTGAGCCAGACCCAAGCCAGGAGCCTGGAGCTTCATCCAGATCTCCCAGGCGGATGCAGGAACCCGAGGATTTGGACCATCCTCTGCTGCTTTCCCAGGTGAGCAGGGAGCTGGATGGGAAGTGGAGCAGCCGGCACTCGAACCACAGCAGCCTTACCCACTAGGCCACAACGCAGGTCCCCAAAAAGTTTTACTTTGAAGAAAAAGTACTTTTCCTGGTAAAGGTCGGCACACTTCTGAAGGTAGCGTCCGAAAAGAGCCCCATAAAGTAGTTTCCAAAGTCCCTCTGTTCAGCTCCCGTAATTCTCCAGGGATCCTATGAGAAGTATCTTGTAGTCCAGGGGTGCGACCGAAGTGCAGGCTTCTCCAGCGGACTCAAGCTGGGCGTGGCTCACTGCCGACCCGCGGGCAGACCACGAGGCAGGTGCTCGGGTCCTGACACAATCACAGCCGCCTTGGGCGAGGAGCACCCGCCTGCTGGCAGAGACCCGGCTTCGCAGACTTGGGTGCAAGGCCAAACGACAGCCACGGCCGGAAGCGGAAATCCGGCCGTGGGCTGGCTGCTCCACTCGGAGACGGAAGCGGAAGTTGGGTACCGGAAGCAGTGTTTAGTGACGCCTACTATGGCTGAATCTGCGCCTGTCACAGCTGAGTCTCTCGCGGGCAGCGGGGCGCGGGCGGCGTGCACGGTTCTGAACCAGGTGGTGCTCCCAGGAGAGGAGCTGCTGCTGCCGGAACAGGAGGACGCAGACGGCGCTGGCGGGGCCGGGGAGCGGCCGTTACGCCTGAATGCCGGGGTGTGCTCGCGCGTGCGCGTGGTGTGCGGCCCGGGCTTGCGGCGCTCTGGCGATCGCCTTCTGGTCACCAAGTGCGGCCTCCTCCGCCACAAGGAGCCCAGCAGTGGCAGTGGCGGTGGCGTTTACTGGGTGGACTCGCAACAGAAGCGGGTGAGCTGGGATCCCGGGGGGGACGGGGAGGTGGGGGCGCGGCCGTGAGCATGGAAGAAGCCGCCGTGGGGCCTTGCAGTGTTAAGGCGGAGGGTGGGGGCGCTGCCGTGAGCGTGGAAGAGGCCGCCGAGGGGTCTTCCTGTGTTAGGGCGGGGGGTGGGGGCGCGGCCGTGAGCGTGGAAGAGGCCGCCGTGGGGCCTTGCAGTGTTAAGGCGGGGGGTGGGGGGCGCGGCTGTGAGCGTGGAAGGGGCCGCCGAGGGGCCTTGTGTTAAGTCAGGGGTGGGGGGCGCGGCCGTGGTGCCTTGCTGCGTTAAGGCTGATTTGGAACCACCGTAGTGCAGGGCCCACCTCAGCAGCCACTGTATGTAGGACCATGAACAGTAGGGATGCAGCCTGACAGAGGCCTCTGGAGACTGAATCATGGTTATTGTCATTAAAATCCCAGTGGTTTTGGAACAGCAGGCTTGACCTTTGGCGTCCCAGCGAGCAGAACCAGGCTCAATGAGTGGCAGTTACAGGGAGTTAAATCGCTCTTAGGTGAGAACTTTCCTGGTAGGAAAAAGTGTCTAACAATGGAATGTGCTTTCCTGGTTCTAAGGATTCCAGTGCCACTGGACTTGGATGCAGCAGAAGCTAGGGACTTACTGGTAAATACTGGCTCAAATGAATAGAAGCTGTAGGGGCCACTTGTGGTGCAGCAGGTTAACGCCCTGGTCTGAAGCACCGGCATCCCTTATGGGCGCCCATTCGAGTCCCGGCTGCTCCTCTTCTGATCCAGCTCTTTGCTATGGCCTGGGAAAGCAGTAGAAGATGGCCCAAGTCATTGGGCCCCTGCACCTACATGGGAGACCTGGAGGAAGCTCCAGGCTCCTGGTTTTGGATCAGCGCAGCTCTGGCTGCTGTGGCCAACTGGGGAGTGACCCATCGGATGGAAGACCTCTCTCCCCCTTTCCCCCTCTTCCTCTCTTCCTTTATCCTCCTCTCCCCCTCTCTCCTCTCTGTGTAACTCTGATTCTCAAATAAAAATAAATAAATCTTTAAAAAAATGAATAGAAGCTGTAAATCTGAGAGTTTATACTGTGATCTCTCTTTTACTGAAAATGGCATATAATCAAACTTGTATGGGTTAACTTGTAAACTTGCATTTCGGAATATTTAAAATTATCTCTTTAATGACAACAACTAAGGCTAACTTGCTGGAGATATCTTGCAATGATAGCTTGCCATTTATGGCTGTTCTCTCAATTCTGTTTTGTAGTATGTTCCAGTGAAAGGAGACCACGTGATTGGCATAGTGACGGCTAAGTCTGGAGATATATTCAAAGTTGACGTTGGAGGGAGTGAGCCAGCTTCTTTGTCTTACTTGGCATTTGAAGGTGCAACGAAAAGAAACAGACCTAATGTGCAGGTAATGATGGCGCCTTCAACCCCTAGGACGTTCATTTATCCAGCAGCTGCCTGACCTGTCTCCAGAGCCTGGCCATTCTCCCAGCTGTGCGGGATCATCTCTGAGTGTTCGGGCTCTCAGAGTTCCTTCAGAGTCTGCAGGAGCAGAGGCACACACTTGGTTTATATTTGTGACGTTGGTTCCTGGGAGGCTTCACCTTGGAGGGGAGAGGTTCTGTTTTCTCCGCTGTTACCTGTTAGGTCCGTATCCACTGGCCAAGGTCAGGCACAGCCTTAGAGAGGGGGAAGGACAGGTGGTGCAGATCAGCAGCAGCTGTCTGTTCGCCCTGCAGAGGAGTCATCTTCTTACCTAAAGTTTGCAATTGGCCTTCTCAGGTCGCATAGCCACACCCTTCCTGTCTACCCAAGCCAGGAACTTGGTGGCTTCTTTGCCCTTTCACCTCTAGTCACTAGTTGCTTAATCCTATTTTGAGCCTACCTCCATCCCTTTGTCTCCACTTTGCAAGTTCAGGCCTTAAACCCCCGCCCCCACAACTGAAGTCAGTGAGTGATCCTATTAACACCTTTACCTCCACCCTTTTACCCCATCCATAGAGGCTTTGGGGAGCTGATATCCCCTTTCTCAGACTAAAAGGAAGATTCTTCAAAGCCTGCAGAATTCCTCAGCGTTACCTCCTTCACAGCGTGCGTGAATCACACCATACTCTACTGAACTCAGTTTCCTGCCCGTGTATCTTGCTTGGGTCATTCAGGTTGTTCCCTGTCGGGATTGCACAGGCTCATCCTTTGGGATCTGGGGTGAACAGGACCATCTTTGTGAAGGCATTGCCAGTCATCACTTTTTTATCTTTGCTTTAGCACTTAACTGAATTTGGCCTCGAATGAAATCTAATCTGTGCATCCCAGCTGCACTCCAAGACCAAATGCTTCTGAAAGGCAGACAGTGTTTTGTTCCTCTCTAGGAACGTGGTCACTGACAAAAAGTAGATATTTAATGTTTCCTTGAGTGAACAGAACAGTGGAGGTAGGCTCAAAATAGGATTAAGCAACTAGTGACTAGAGGTGAAAGGGCAAAGAAGTCCACTCTATTTCCTCAGTTCTGGCGTTCTGAAATTTAGCCTATGAGACTTCTAAGTAAATCTCATATGGAGAAGTGTCTATGAATTACCACCGTTCCCTCTTGCTTTGGATCATTTGCATACCTGGAGTTCCTTTCTCTGTCCGTAAATCTGTAATTCTCTAGAGTAACTTCCTGTAAGTAACTATCTGCACTGACTAGCTTGGAAGCTACTAGCTATGTGTGGCTGCTGACCATTTGACATGTGGCTAATGCACTGGTTTTTAAATATCTGATTTTTAAAAAAAGATGTTTTATTCATTTATTTACTTATTTAAAAGGCAGAGTGACAAAGAGGGAGACAAATTTTCCATCCACTGGTTCACTCCCTTAATGGTCACAATAGCCAGGGCCCTGCTGGTCCAGGCTGAAGCCAAGAGCCTAGCATGCCATCTGTGTCTCCCACAAGGGTGGTAGGGCCAAGTACTTGGGTCATCTGCTGCTGCTTCCCCAGTACATTAACAGAGAGCTGGATTGGCTCCCAGCTGGGATTCCCTGACAGCTGCAGGGGGCAGATACATGTGTCCATTTTGCCTTCAAGACTCAATTCCAAAGTGGCTGTGGACATCCTAGAGCAGTCAGTCCCTTGGCCACAGAACCGCAGATGGCTAGCATTGAGAATGACCAACAGAACCTGTAGATTGGTGTACTAAGAAAGTAACTTTTTTTTTTAATGTTATAGGTTGGCGATCTCATCTATGGCCAGTTTGTGGTTGCTAATAAAGATATGGAACCAGAGATGGTCTGCATTGACAGCTGTGGACGAGCCAACGGGATGGGTGTGATTGGACAAGATGGGCTGCTTTTTAAAGTGACTTTAGGCTTAATTAGAAAGTAAGTCTGGCTTGCC